CATAAATATCAAAAAGCTGTTCTGTAACAGTGATAAAAATGCTCTTAAATTCAGATTTTTTTCTATAAATAGAAGGTTAAAACCATCTACTACATTGAATTTACACTACAAATGAATTACATAAAATCATAAAGCTTTTGAAAAGAAATTTAAAGGAACGGCCAAATAACAGAAACTGGGAGGGGGCTGTACGGTCTTATTAAATATCTACTTTTAGAAGCACAGAATACATCTACCACCTACAGAAAAACTTCAAGAAGGTAAAGAAGGCCAGCAAGGTCAAGAGTGCAAAGAAGGCTTTCAAAAGTAAATGGATATGTTTCAGAAAGGGAAGCCATACGCTAGACCAAAAAACAGAGGGGAAAAAAGCATGCATTCTGACAACTTTTAAAATAAAACAGTAATACAGCAGATCATTAAAGATTTTTAAGGAACTACTTTCTACAGAAGTAAAATCTAGTAAGGAAGCTTTGAAGAACATAGAGAAAGCAGCGTAATCTGCAGAGAGTCTAAAAGAACATCAGTCTGTTAATCAAGAGTGTTCAGGAAAATAAAACCAAAGCAAGAAAGCAAAATGAATAGTGTTGACCACAGAGGAGGTCAAAGAGGACCCTAAACTGTGCCAAAGACTAATCAACAAAAATGTCAGAACAAAAGCTTTTGGAAGATAACTGACACAAGGTCAATTTGTTTCCCTCCAGACCTGATAACACTCACTCAGGACTTCTAAAGGGTCTCAGCGATAACAATGCTGACATACTAGTGGTGTTGAATAACTTGTCACCTAAATAAATTTGGTAGCTAGAGAAAGGAAAGTGGTAAATGTGACTAACTTCAAAAAAGGACTTCAGGATACAGCATGGGAAATGAGAAACTAATCAGTCTGACTTCTTATCTAGGCAAATTGATAGAAATGTAGTAACAATAGAATAAGTAAATATGTGGAAAATATGAAGGGAAAAGTTAACACAGCCACTGTAAAGGAAAGTCATGCTTTGCACTCTGTTAAGAGTGTTGAATTTCTAAAATTCAAAGAAATCAAAGTAATGTTTTCAGTTCTTTTTAACTTTGGGGAAACAGTTTATGGGGATGGTGAAGAAGAGAAGAATAAAAGAGAAGGAGCTTAAGACTATAGCTGATATATTTCCTGTGTCTCAGATCAGTATCATCTGCATAACTGATACACCAAACACCAGAGAAAGAGGCCTCATGGGAATACAGACAGGATCAACCTAATACCTGGAGGTTAGGGAGCCTGTTAGGGTCAGCTTGGATTGCTGCAGAGAATCAAGTTTTTTGCACAGATAGATGGTCACTATGAGCTACAACCCTTTTTCACTTGACTTAAGCTATCATGACAGACATAGATGAAAGGATGACCCGTGGCAGAGGATGGGAGGTATATTGCAAAATAACATAACACTACTAATATGAATAATAATTCTGGTCTTAAAACAGCTGAATAGTGTCTTGGAAAAACAGTTTGTATTCCTGCGTGTGCCTGTAGTGCTAAGTAAATCACTTAAGTTAATCTTTTACAAGTTTTATGTCTGTTCTAGATACTTATGGGAGGTACCATAAAAAAGTCAGGATGAAGAGTAATAGTTTTGTCTTCATAGCAAAGCTTGAATACAGTGCAATAAATAATGCACAGGGATCACATACTGTACAGTAAAGAGAAAAGATATTGACTAGTGGGTTATTAAAGTGACTTCTATTTACTCTTTGCACTAAATGAGGCCAGACTTTTCAAAAGAATAATGATGTAATTAAAAACTGAATCATGATGTATATCCTTAACTAAACATGCACTGGTAAATTTAATTCTTAAAGTTTATTACCTTTTAAATATATTATATTACAGTATTACATATAATCTCCTAGCCATTTAATATATTTTTGCTTTGATTTATTAATATTTAAACACATCTACTGAACCAACATTAATCAAGTGTTTACATATAATTTTACATTTTTAGAGTCCATTGCAAATATTAACTAATTAGATCTTTCCTAATAATCTAAAAGATAAGTAACAATATATTTCTTACCAAGTTCCAAAAAAGAAATTAAGCCATAATTAAGAAGGACACACCCCAAAAGGGATTATTAGCTAGATGTAATTTCTGGCCTAAACATATTCTCTCTTCCGTTAAAACAATTCAGTATTTCATCATCTGAAAATGCCCTGGGCCTCAAGCTTTACAGCCATTGAAGGCAGCAAAAAAATACAGACATAAAGATAGAAATACTTTTGAGAGCGTTACAGTTTCACCATTTTCAACCAATCAATGTCCCTAATATTAACAATCTCAATTATTTGATTCCTCCCTTAGAATATTATTCAGTTTTTAATTATAGATGCTAAAAATTTTCCTGTGCAGCAATACAGATCTATTCCTTTATAGAAATGATCTTGATTAAAACATAAAGATTAGCTCACAATCTTCCTTCTTCTTATAGTTCTTTTTCTCCTTTTTTAGCAGAGAATTCAAAATATCATTGAATTAAAAACTCCTTCTGCTGCATCTTCTGAGATAAGACAACCAATATTTCAATATAACAGTGCACAGTCACTGTCAGCACCGAGTCTGCGATGCCATCGCATTTACCCCACAGAAAACCTTTTCTGTTCTAGATACTTGATCAGTTGTACAATCATTCCAGTAATTCCATATGATTTAGCTCCAAGAATGAACCTCTTACATCCTTTTACCTTAGGCATTTTAAAAATATGTAAAACTTCCTATAACATTAATTTGGATAAAATACCGTAAGGGAATACATTCACTAGTACTGAGTAATAGTCTTTAAAGAGAGGTTGCTGTTTAAAGCAACATTTGAAAAGCATCAGTACAAGTGAATCAGTGTCAGCCACCTTGGACATCTTTATAGATCATAATAGCATATGATGCATATATCACTATGCTGATCAAACAAACTGGTATGTCCAATGGCAGTGCTGTGCTCCAGTTAAAACCCACTTGGGTCATGGAAACAGGCTGTCAGTGTCATCATGGTGCCACACACACTGGAGGGTAACTAAAAGGTCTGGTCAATTAAACAGAGGTTTTATTCTGGCCCAGCACCACACTCATGGAGTTACACTACTGCCAGGTCTCAAAGCTAAGAAATCAAGGGACTCTGCTAAAATTATGTCTTTTACTTGAGTGTGCTCTACTGCTATTATGGAGACAGGTTTTCTACCAGGCTAAGATGTCAGGCTGACACAGTGGCAAGCATTGCAAGTGGTCGCCTCTCATCATTGCACTTTGTTCACCATTTCAGGGTGGACTGCTACAACACAAAGCCATGTTGCGGCCGTTTGGTAAGCAAAGCTGTAGACTACTGAAGTGGTTTACGAACTGAAAATGTTAAGTTTCACAGAAAAGCCACAGGATTTCATATGTTAAGCTCTTCACATCAGAAAGTTGGTTTGTGTTCCTAACTCACACAGACATCACGAAAATTTTCTGTAAAATCACCAGTATAGGATAACATTGCTTACCATATATCTGAGCCATTTTCAGTTCAGATAATTTTACCTCTTGAGACTGGTAAGGAGAAAAGTGAATAAGCTTGATTGGTCTACTCAGTTTGCATACTCAAGACTGTCTGGCAATTCCAAAATCATCTATTAGAGCTCTCATTTCACTTATCTGAGCTGATTAATTGAAATCCAGTATTTATATGTCTTTCTGGCAGAAAATACCTGCCCTTTTAACTTACTTAAATTTGCAATACATACTGATATTTAATGCAACAAGAAAAGCAAAACTAATTTCTGTATTGAATTCTATGCCGATGAATTAAAAGTAACAATATAATATTCTTATTTGTCAGTGCCTTGAAGTAAAATAGAAGACTGGGGATCATTATTAGCTTTCTATATTCTATATTTCTATATTATATACTATTCAGTGAGTATATTTGAAACAGTCTTTAAAACCACAAAGGAGAAGTATGTAGAAAATGAAAACAACAAATATAAAGAAAATAAATGAATAAACACATCACTTTAGTTTTAAAACTAGAATAAAAAGACAAGGAAAAATAAGAGAACGGTTATTTGGCACACTAGTTTCAATGTAACAGTTCAATGTAAAATAACTAAATTGTCTCTGATTATTTTTCAAGAATTGAAAGAATATAATTCTACAACAATTGCTGATGCACCTGAAAGAAGATCAAAACCAGCAAATCATAGGTGAAAGAAGGCTATAACCCAAATATACAAAAGAAGTTCCCACATATTATGCTCTGAATTTTCTATTTCATGCATGAAATAGGCAAATGTTGATGATTTTGCTCCCCTTTGCACATATTAAAGCCAGCTATGTGTTAATGTAAAAGCTACAAATACCTTGTGCTTTGTGCACATGGTCAGAATGGCCAGCATGAACTCTAGTTAAATGTGGTTTACGTGATTGTCATTTGGAGTTTCAAGTCTAAGAGAATGGCTTCTTGGTAATCTTGGCCCCCAAATCTGAAGAATCAAGCAAGCAAGCTAACTTTGCAAGTGCCTTTAGCACTCATCTAACACATTCAACCTAGTACCCTCTGCTGCTTCCTGTGTATGGACCCTTGCTAGTACTTTTCCCCGCAATGGTTCCATGGTGTGCTCATGAAGCTATAGAATTATGGAATGGTTTGTGTAGGAAGGGACCTTTAAAGATCATCTGATCCAACCCCTCTCTCCCCCACAACCTATTTCATTATATTATAAACAAAAAGATGACCTAGCTATGATTTGAAAATTATTTTAGTTATATGAGTATCTTTTCTATAATATTTAAACTAATTTCTAAATCTCTTTTACATATTAATTTCTCTCTCACATGGTCTGCTGGTCAACTAGCTAACAAAATTTTGCTATTCTCTTCAACATCTACTCTTTTGTTCATTTTGATTAAGAATTTTCCCATCTTTAACCCTAAAACCATCAGTAAAGTAATATTTCATTGGAACTACTTCCAAGCACAACAAAAACATGTTCTTACTTGTTTAAGTTTCTTCAGATCTTCATCAAGTTCCAAGTTGTCCAAAATAACAGCAACAAACAAGCTGAGTAGAATCTACAAAACAATTGCAAATTATTATTTTTCTTAAGAAGTACTATGAAATGGCATGGAAAAATAAGGGCTCTACTGTTGTAAATAACAGTCTTGCCTTTGACATCTGTTTAACCAGGATCACTTGCTACTGTATGTCTGCTAGCCATTTTGCAAGTAGTAAATCCTTTTTTCCTTATCATAAAATTATTATATGAATTTAAACATTTTGAATTCTAGGTTTTATGACCAATGCACTATGTGTAACAATATACCCCTTAGAATGTATTTCACATGAAAATAAAATTAAATTAAGAAGAAATACTAAAAAAAAACAACCCACCACAAAGCAGAATCCTGAAACAGCTCATAAAGCTAAGGTGCTTTTCAATAAAGGTGTGAATTTTTAGCACTCATTAATTTTAACACTCGTTTATTTTACTACTAGTAACTTGCTTAATGCTTGGAGTGCCTGTGTGCAAAGTAGCTAACTCCAGAGGAAGAGTAAGCTGCCTCATTACTTGCATGCATCGGGAGCCAGAGTTTAGGACACTCATACACGTTCATGAAGAATCCCAGGGGAAAGAAAGTGCCTATCAGATTATTATATTTTCCTTGTGCAGAGACAAAGAAGCTGAAAATGTGACACAGCTGAGGAGGAGACGCAACTAGGAAAGCAAATACTAGGTGAAGGAGGACACCACGGTTCAGCACATACACTCAGACAACTTACACCCGCAGGCAGTCAATGTGTACATACTAGCTTTACAGCAGTCAGCAACTACCAAGTTTTTAGTCTCTGAGGTTCAAGGCAAATATCCTCAAACATACTGAGCTCCTACAGTAAGCATCAGTTTCCTAGAGATATCAGAATGAATCTAAGCTTTTTTTTTTTTTTTTTTTTTTTTTTAGAGTTACAGGCCTAAAATATTTCTGTGGTCTTGGAACACCGAGTGACAAGCAGAACAGACGTTTTCATCCATCACTGTTGTAAAGAAAGTCTAAGTTTACTTGTTGTTCAATGATACAGGAAAATTGCTCCCTACCTATATAAAAGATTAAGTAGCTTAGTATAGCAGACAAGGCATCTGGACCTCAAACTGCATCTGAGCTTGGTGTCTAGAACTAAGACCAAGATTTCCTTTCCCTCCATGAACTATAAGGGTACAGAAGACACAGGAAGGACATACCCATAAATTTATAAATGTCAGTATTCAGAAAAATAAATGTTCTTTTAATAGGAAACTGGCTTTAGCAATACGTAGAATTTCCAGGAGCTGTTTGAAAAGACAAGTTCTATGAGCCATATACTAAAGAGTACCTCTTGCAGTTTTCTACGATCCGACTACTATAAACAGTAGATGGCCTGCAAGAATGGCAAAGCAAGACAGAATTCTGATAAAACAGGTAATCCCCAGCACAAAATATTTTGATCCCTAATTGCTGATGAACAGTTTTCTATCATTCTGTCAGGGTTTTACAGTATGGTGTTTTTCTTCTGCAGATACTTTATACAGTCAATGATACTGCAGTACCTGCAGCTCAGAGCATACTAGTGATGGAAGTACAGTTCCACACTACAAAGTATAGCACTCACTAAATAGGTCACTCCTTACAGTCTTGCTGCTTCATGCACAGATATGTATCTAGCTATCAAGACATCCATTAACTCCCTTTTTAACTCAACAAATATCAGAGATGGTGAACCACAAAAGTGAAACACACACTTGTTTAACTTCCTTCACTGACACCCCAACTAATAACAGTCCTCACTTCCAAAAGACGTTTTGGTTTTTGAGCTTCAACTTTTCTTTGCCTTCTAACGTAAAACCTTTTAATTTCTTTCCAAGGCTCTACAGTCTTCTTTGCCAAATGACTGCAATTATTACTTCTCAATGCTAATCCTCCCCCTCTTCTGGCTGATGAAAGCAATTTCTTCATTTGACTTCACTCTTGTTACTCACTGACAGCTATTTATTCTTGGAACTCTTCTGGTTTTAGTAGCAGGTCATCCTCCTTTACCAATTCCACATTATTTTCTTTCTTTAAGCTTCTTTTGCTTCCAGACAATTCTGTCCTACATAGCTTTTCTTATTCAGGGTCTGAGGAAACTCTCAGAACTGAAACTGATGACTTTGTAAGGCCAGCTAATTCTGCAAAGTTGTCTTAGCAGAGTTTCTTTATCCATGCAAAATTTGCATAGGTGAATGAGAAGAAATGTGTACACAAAAGCAAAGCAAGGACCATGTGCTTAAATTCAATTTCCCTGTAAAAGGATTGAAGTTAGTGTACTGAAGAGTGCACAGCAAAATAAGTGTGTTGAGTAAACAAACTGAAAGTCCCAGATGATTCTTTCAAAACTTGAAACATAAAGCAGAACATTAAGCGTGCTCTTATAGCTAAGTCACTTCTCAATTAAGGTGTGAATTTTTAGTACAGAAGCTGCCTGACACCAATTTACTTTATGGGCTTGCTTAATGCTCATCTAAGAGAAGAATGAATTCTAGTTCAGTCAAAGTTTTGGTGAAGAACCAGAAAAACAGCAATTAAGATTCTCTAACCAGAAATTGCTTTCAAATCCATGACCAACACTCACTTCCCCTTTTTCTTTCTATCCCCACTTCCCAAAGAGTTTTAAAAGATCAGCTGAGTATGAGAAGTTGCATTTCCAGACCCCGAGGAATCTGACCCTTGCACGCCAATTACATATCCTATATATCTGCTGATACATACATTTGTTCAGCTTATACTTTAATTTGGTTAAGCAGCTCTAAGGGCATCAAATAGTTTACTGCCATTTATAATGTGGTCAAGATTTCAATCCACAAGAAGGAACCTGCTGCACTCACAGATACAGTATAATTATTCAGTCTTTAGAAATGAAATAGGACTTACTGTAAAGTAAAAGAAATAGATGGGAGCTAATGGAAACTGCATATATACAGTTAGTACCGTATGTAAGTAGATAACAGAGCAAAGACTGAAAATGGAATGATGAAAATGAAAATAAGAAGGGCATCGAAAACTGCAGAGAATGCCAACACGAAATGAACAAAAGTAGGAGTGAATTACAGGTGCGTAAAATGGTTATTCCGCTTAATGGAGTAGTTTCTCTGTGTTGGCATTCAGAGTACAGTACCAAGCCCTTATTGATACAGGATATCCAAAAAGCTGTTTTCCTTACCATTTTCTCTATAAAAAAACATAAAACATAATCCCATTTGAAATGCATACACAAAAGAGTTTTTTAGATGTAATTCCTATTTCCGTACACATTCAGGAACTGCTGTATTAGTTCTTACCCTTTTATTGCTTGATATATTGTAGCATATATTTTCTATGCATTGATTTTGCATCAGGCAACAGGAAAGTAGTGATTTCTAGTATAGAGTTTATACCCTGAGGCTTTACATTTCTCACTTTAATTATTGATGCAATAAGAATGCAGTGGAAGCTGAGGAAACCATTATTACGTTATAAATAAAGCACTTATTAGAACTGTGAAAATACAAGGCAATTAACAATTATATTGTTAGTCTAGCAGTGTGACTTGAATCTTATGAAGAACACCATCTCACGTCAGAACAAAGGCCACCGCTTTCTACCACATTAAAGTACTAGTCCTAAAGCCCTCTACGCTGTAAGTAAGCATCACATTTACTTTTAGGTAGCTGAGAAAAATAATACCAGAGCTGTAAGAATAATTCAAAACAAAGAAAAGCACAGCATTATTTGCAAGTGAAGACTTACCAGAGTAGCAAAAAGATGATACAGTATAAAATAAATAGCAACTACAGGTGCCCACATATGTCCTACAGCATTCAGTGTCTGGTCCATGACATCCACCCATCCTTCCTGTGTGAGAATCTGAAACATTGACATGAACGCCTGCAAGGAAGAGTATTATAAATATATTAACAATTCACAAATTATATTAATATGGTTTTACTGACACATTCCTCAAGCTGATTTAACAGAGAAGAACACCTATCTTAATAAACAAATGTATTTCAATTTTTGAAGCCAGGTGAAACACTATTCCAGATCAAAAGGAGAAATAAATAGCTTGATCTTTGACTGAACTGTAATATGCAACTTGTAAACATAGTCCTAGCTCCTTTAGCTCATTTGAAGAGCTTTTTTGTTTCCTCCAGGGCTGACAAAATGGGAGAAATATTCTGAGCATCAGCGATCATTGTTTTGAATGTTATACCATTTTGTGGGTTTTGTTTGGTTTTTTTTATTATGCTTATTGTTCTCTGTTACCTCTCTATAAATGTACCTATATACCTGCAATAAAGTGTTATAATTAAATGTGACCATACATTTATGTTATCTTAATAACAGAAGCGTTCCAGGCACCCAACAGACAAGACCTACAAGGCAAGTTCCCAGCACTTCCACTCATTTCAGTCAAATTCTTCCCCTATATGTTTTGTAAACAGCATTATTTATGGAACTGTTCCTGTAAAATTTTCAAATCCCTTCAAACCAGGGGTACATATCAAAAATAGAGGGAATAATGGAAATATTTCAACAAACTGCCTTTGGCGATTGAAGTATATGAATCCAGATAAGCCTACAACCCAGGTGTCTTAGGACCTTTGAAACCCCAGCTTGAGCCTAAAGCACAAATCAGAATCAAATTCAGTACAAACAACATGAGCATGACATTGTATATTTTACACTGTGAACAGACGCTGAAGACTGTGCTCTCCCTCAGCCATATGAGTTTGACTGTGGTATCACAGTGTGGATCTTGAGTCTTAAATCTCTCAATGAGGCCAAACTATCACACATTTTTCTTTTGCTTTTGCCTGACATCAAAAGTACTTCTTTCCAGACAGAGAGGATCAAGCTGATATCTTACTGAAGGTTAATACACAACAAAAAAGTGTTAGAAACTGAAGATATTAACAATGCAGCTTCCAGATAAAAGGAATCTTCAAATCAGAATGTTCACAATTAGGTCGATGCTTAGTGTGCCTGATGCCCTCAGGAACAGCACATTAACACAATAATGTACTTGCCACAAAGAAAACAAGACTTTGTGGCATAGTTTGCCACACTGTTTCTGTATTAAGAAATCACGGGTGTTACCTAGCTCTGTAAAATAACTCCCCATGAAAAACCTGCGGAGAAGGAAATTGGGTCTTCACCTAGGAGAAGCCTGCTGTAGTCACAGAAGCATGCAGAAAGAAAGCAGAAAATTTAGCCTCCTCTACAGTTGCCAGTGGTGCTTGAGGATGAATAAGACAACCACCCCATCAGTGCTCAGAATTGCTTCTCGGCTTCCTTTCCTGGTGAGGAGGTTAAGCTCAACCAGGCAGTCACTGTTTCCCTGCATTTCGAGCATCTCTGAAGCCAGTGACTGGTGCAACACTTGTTGCTGATATATAAGGTGGGCACTACATTAAGTAGTACACCACACTTCTGGCTTTAAAAATACCTTAGGGACTGGAACCAGTGCAGTATCCTTTCTTCTGAATTATACTGAAGTACCATAGTACCATTGCTTTTTTTAGAAAAAAAAAATAAAATCCTGAAGGTATAAAGATACTTCCAATACTATGCTGTGGACCTCTCATTAATATAAGCAACAGATTAATATGGAAAAGACATTCTTTTAACAACATAAAAATCTAATCATCCATGTAAAACAGCTGTCCATAAAGCATATAATTATATAAAATGATCTCTCAATATAACTAAAACATTTTTCATAACGTTAAAGTCCAGTACATGAGAAAACATTTGTTTTAAGAAAATAAGGTGGTACACAAGAAGTATGTTTCACATCTAGCAATCTCCTTTGGAGCAAGTTATTTTTAGCTGAAAGGTATACTTCCCACTGTTTATTTTAAAATTAATTTGAAATGCAACTAGCTGACAGAATCAACATCTGTGAAGATGAGACTTAAAAGATTTATGCAAATGGTGATTTTCTGAATTAATTCATGTTATAGAAAAGACTGTCAATTTCTTTGAGTATTTATGCCCTATTACTTAATTAGCTGCTTTGATGATGGAACTCAAACTACCTTGTTATTTATAGTGGAAGATCGGCAAAGATTTGGTGGAATATACGAGCTGAATTGTCACTTCTGATATCTTGTCCAACTATTACAAGAGTGATGCCACACAATTACTACTTACAATTATAATGTATTTGACTTGTAACAGCTGCTTGTCCACAGAATATTATGGGCCCAATCCTAATGGCTTTATTCATGGCAGCAGTCCTACAATCAGTGGGATTACTTCTGCAAATGAAGCTAACAGGATTAGGCCAGTGCTGTGAACTGTCTGCAATCTGTTCTAGCTGTGTAAAGTTACCTTCTTCACCTAATTCGGTCATGAGTGCTCAGTAACACCCTGAAAGAAGAGCAGCCATCCTGTGGCAGTGGCACTGAGATTTCAACTGGATCAAAGAATTAAGACCACGTTGTTCAATATTTTTAATGGATGATGCTGAAGTTGAACTAATATCTAACAGCTTGAGCTTTCTCCAAGCCCAAAGCTAGGGGCAAAGCCCTGGTTTTGCTGAAGACTGGGAGATTTTTGCTGCTGAGATCAGCTGGGCCTGGCTTTCATCTTGTGTTGACCCACTTAAAAGAAGAACAGCATTCCCAGCTTTGTAACTTGAGCCACCGAGTAGCCAGCACATGGCCCCAGGAGTCTGACATGGAAGTCAGAGACATTAGCAATGTGCTCTGTTTTCCATACAGGGAATTTTAAAATTTCTTAGTGGTCATTTTACACTAATGCATTTGAACAGTCTCTCCCCTCCCATTCCATCTTCAGGCTTGCCAGCTGCTGCCTGCCCTTCTCATGGCTCAATATGTGCAGCCCAAGAAGATGTGCAAGAATAGAGATGGTGGATCGCTTAAAAACATTACAGAAAACATGTATATTTTTATACTTGCATTAGACAGAAAGCCAGTCCATTTGGGAAGCTGCAGTGGCCAAAAGAAGGGTGAAATTTGTAGCCATAGCAACACTGAGCTTGTGCCTATTGACTGTTGTCAGGAAACCATGTGAAAACATGCAATTTAGAGGCATTAGCGAAAGGAGGAGGTCTACTTGTTCCAAAACCCATACTGTGCCTTCTCATAAAGCACTTACAGTTTCAAGATGATTTTAGGTTTTGTCTGTTTCAGTGTAAAAAGCACTTTAATGTAAACCCTCAAAATTTAGCCTCTAGTGTCACCATTTTTGTTAGTGTTCTTGTTCTCTCTGTATTTGTAACTGAAGAAGCCCACAGCAATAGTCCTGGCCAATTTAGGTTTGCTCTTCTTTGGGGATGAGGTCCTAAAAATTAATCTTAGTAAATTCTGCTATTGCAGGCCTCATATCATCTCCTATGTCATATAGCAATGCAAGTATGTCTTCAGTAACATTTTGAAAATAATGCATTCCAGGCAAAAGCAAAATTACATACTTTGTAATTGTCTTATTGTAAACTGATTAAGGGGTGTTCAGTAAGAGCAGACAAAATGAGTGGGAATCTCCCAGCCTTTGCTATGAAGACACACTCCTTCAGAGGGACACCATCACTCACCCCATCAATCAAAAGGTTTTTGTGAGTACAAATTTTTCTCTGATGCTATTAACTTATTAAGAGATGTGTCATGAAAAAAGCTACAAAGAGAAACCACATCCTGCAAATTATACTTCTGAAACTTTCCAAACAAGGTGAATATGCTTAAATATTCACACATATATAAAAAATAAACAATAACTAAGAAAATAAGGTGAGACCCTTCTATCATATAAAAAGTATTAAAAGCATTTCAATTTAGTATTGTACAAAACAGTACTTTATTATTGATAACCTTCCATTTCTCCAAAATTTATGTCAGAAAACAGAAAAGAAGTTTAGATATTTTCTGTTGGTAAAAAACTATAATTTGCTGCTGAAAATATCTTCTCACTCTTCAAATGTATTTAGTATATAAATCTGTTGAAATTTTAATATGACAGAAGCTTTTATTGAAGCTTAAATGGCCTCAGATTTAAATGCTTGAAACAATTTAAAACTTTACTAACATCTTGATACGCCTTGGCAACGTTTTACTGCAAGTGGATCATTCTCAAATATATGCATCTATTTATCTAGTTAAAATGCGCAGGTGGCTGTGAATGTCTTATTTAAATTATAATGCAGTAATTCCTGCAGGACTTCATTGTTATTTTGCATAAATAATAAAAATAATTCCAAAACAAAATTCCATGATGATTTCAAACTTGCAGTTGAAAGTGTTTTTTTCAGAAGCTATACATGGGAATTGGGCATACAATATAGTGGTAATATCCAATTTAGAGACAGAGCTTTGACTTGATTAGAAAAGCTTAAGTTTTATTGTTTTGGTTTTTGTTTTTTTTTTTTTTTTCTTTCTTCAGCATTAAAAAAACTAATTATAATGAATTCTTAATGATCCTACTGGCTGCTTTTCTAAGCACATTTTCCAAAATAGAAAGCATGGTGTTACATTATTCTCTGCGGGTAGGTAGTTTGTGTCTTACATTTGATGGCTAGCTTCCCATACATCAAGTCCAGGCCGATAATTACAAATTGTTGCCTAGCTATTTTGTTTGCTAAATGCATGACCCTTGAGGCTGCCTTATTCATTGTTATTTAATCGTTCTAACCAATGCACTTTCACTAAAATAGATACACTGGATAACCAAGCTGGAATGACAGAAACAAATAAATTGTCACTGGAACCAATCCATGTACACTCAGTCTAATCCGTTATTAAAGAGATGGCAGTATTTTCATTCAGAACAGTGTGCTTCAATACATACATTAGCTCCAATTTTCACTGATTTTCAATATTCTGTTCCGAATTAACGCAATGCCCATAAATATCTATTATTGATACACCAAAGGCAAACATTTATTTTGTCAGTGCAGACAGATTTCATAGTCCTGTGTAAAACAAGCATTCCTGTACAAATCGAGAACAATCACTTCATAATATAAAGATATGAATCATGTGTAGAAATGTTTTATGTAAATTTTGTGGCTAATACTGATGATTATGCACATGAATCTTCTTTCTATAACATGCTAAGGTACCATATGCTTTGCTGAAGTCACCATGAGGGTGCATGTGTGAAATTTCTCTATGTTCCCTTAACAGCAAAAACAGAATAACTACACAAACAAAGATAATCTTCACTACTGAAGGACTACAGGGTGGATGTTACAACCAGAAAATACAATTGCTTTATCTACACATATGGAGATAAAATCCTCCATGGTTCTCAGAAGGAAAGCAAGACCACTAATATAATAACAAGTTGTAGAATCTGCCCTGGTTTCAGATGGGATAGAGTTAATTTTCTTCCTTGTAGCTGCTTCAGTGTTGTGTTTTGGATTTGGGATGAGGATAACATTGATAACACACAGATGTATTAGTTGTGGCTGAAGAGTGTTACACACTTATTCAAGGACTTTTCAGCATGGATGGGGGCCATTGCTCGGGAACTGGCTGGGCAATGGTTGGCAGGTGGTGAGAAGCTGCATTGTGCATCCCTTGTTTCGTATATTCTTATTCACCACGGCTATGTCATCTGTAGTTAACTGCTGGGTTAAACCACAACAGAATCATAGGATCATTTAGGCTGGAAAACACCTTTAAGATCATTAAGTCCCCCCGTTAAACTAGCATCAACACTTACCACCACCAATGGTAAGAAAATCTTGTTAATGATAAGAAAATAATTACAAGCAACAAGTAATCAACGGTTTTGATACTTGCCCGTGGAAAGGTTGTAAATCTATCCAGTTCTTCTACAAAGCAAAACATCTGTAAACTGATTGCTGACATTACGATTAAAAGGCTGGCAGTAAATACCACCAAACTCCCAAGTTTTTTTCCTGGTCCAAATATCTTATACACAAAATCCTCCAAAGCAGGAGAAATCTTTATGAGCCGAACTACTCTAAGAACCTGCAAAGAAAGAAAAAATAGAACTGTATTCATTTATTATCACGTTAATCAACAACTTTTCACAGGATCAGAAAATTCAAGGCCAAAAAGGGACTTGCAGCCTTGTAGACCAGTAAATACCAGGTTGCCTCCACTTGTAATAGACCACAGGCTATGTGTTAGGTTAAGAGCATAGGCCCTGGAACCTGTCAAGTTTTGCCTGTACTTATCTTGGCCTGCCTGAACATGTTTTTTTAACTAGCAACAGCAGTTACCCATGACCAGGTAACTTTTAACCTACTCTGTCTTTTGCTTAGCCTTTTATGATTGTGTGGCTTATTGTTACATAACTCTTTATTTCTAAGATACATTAACAAGCTGTAATTTTGCATGGAATGAGCTATCTGTAAACCTTGCTTAAAATGCAGCATCAAGGCATACAGACATGTGATAACAGCATCTTGTTCAAATTGAGTACAGGCACAGGAGGATACTCAAGGCCCCCAGCTCACCAGCCACAAAGAGGCATCACAGAAATGTAATTGGGTAAAGCTGTTTTGGGGGTAACAAAGGGAAAAAGTCATAGGCAAAACACACCACAGACAGTAAATCTGATCTTAATGTGGAATTACAGACCAATGAAGGTCATCAGTGTTAAAAATTCATAATTATTCTAAAGGGACAGGGTCCTGAACAATCTCTGAAGAAGCCTCAGCTTTGAGAAGAAGGCTAGACGACATGACTTTGAAAGGCTACTTTCAACCTACATTTTACTATAATTCTATGTTATTTGTTAAACCAGGTTATACACACACACAAAGAACTGCCAGCTCTTCTACAGGTCAACTTTCTGTTTCAGTGACCCAAGGTGAAATTATTCGGCATTGTGTACCATCTAACCTAGCAAGTTTGATAATGAACATATTTTGCTATTTCATGCTATATACAAGGGAAATTGTGCCACTGACATATTTGACATCTCTCGGTACTAGTAGTGGCAGCAGAACTGTGATTGTGTGTGGAACTCCTTACCCATTCACTGCTGAGTCTACCTCGAAAAGCCTGTTGACAGCTCTGATTCTCCTATTTATGCCACTTAACAGTGACACAGACAGTGATATGAACATCAGCATCAACAAGAGGGAGTGGCATCAACAGTAGTTGCTGGAGACAGCAGACAGCAGGATATGGGGCAAATGAGATTCTGCTGGTTTTACACATAAAAAGACCCTCTAGACCAAGGTACCACCTGTATTTCCAAAAGAATCATATTGAAACTGAAAGGAATTACAGTGCAAATGTAGGTTGACCTTATGTACAGGTCAAATAAAATTACTGTGCTGCTTTTGGAGAAAAAATAAGCTTGACAGAGGTTGTTCACAGAAAGAGTTCACTGAACCTTGTAGCTTGCTAATAATGACCACCTTTGCCTTTTGCATGAAACTCTTCTCTATACCTAGCCATCAGGTATGCAGAATATTCTAGTCATCTAGGCTTTACTGCCAAAGGGGAGAGACAGAGACAGCCACCTCAAGTGAACAACTCATTCCAAATATACCAGACCCTTTCTGTGAAATTAACTTTCACAATATTAAGAGTAATTCTTTCATATTGGTCCTGCAATCATATTACATATAATCTCAGTACATGAAACTGGTTACCAAGGCAATGACAGACAGTGACACAAGTGAGATTTTCAAGAACTATGAACATGTTAATTTGGTGCCTTCTTACTTACAAGATCTACTCATAGTATAAATGTTAGCTCTGTTTCCACCAGATTTAGATACAGACGCCAGCGGAGTGAAGACCTCATGCTAGTTGGTATTGGGTTGTACTTTAGATAAACTGCATTATCTGCCTTATTTCCCCCTCACCCTTTCCTCTGGGGAACTTTAACTGACCTTTAAGCAACCCACTAATCTTATTGATACTATTTGGTTTTGGTTTTTTTCATTTATTTTCATTAGATGACAAACTGAATCTAGCAAAAGTACACTCTAATGAACATTTATGCATTCTTCGTAATTGGATTGCAAATTGTATTAGATTTAAGAGCTGCAGAAGTTGCACTACTTGGAATAAATATACAATTATGTTAAAAAAAAACCAAATAAAAAAATATAAAAAAGGAGCCACAGCTTTGTTACAAAGAATGGCTGCATCTCCTAAAAGTGATGATATGTATTCAGAAAATGACTCAAATATTTTCTCCAAGCACATCTCTTCAGACCAGTATAGGTCAAATTCTGTTTATATCTCTCCCTTTTATGCCAGTTCATTACAGAACTCTACAATAATATGCAAAGTCTGTCATTTCTTGACTGATTTTGTGTGCTATAGATTATAGACATGGAATGGTGGTTTGCTGTAGTCTTTCACAGAGGATTTTGCAAGGTGTTTTGAATCTATGTACAGCAAATGCAAGAAAGATAGGTGGGAGGGTGGACAGTAGCCAATGTGGTGAAGAGTGAATGATGTGTTGGCAAAAGGTAATGATAAAGACCATGATAAATGATAAAATGAATAATGCAGGCTAAAATACATGCTAAGGAAGGCTATACAAGCCAAACATTTCTGCTTGCTAGAAAGTGTCAAGACTTCTGTTTTCAGTAATCTGCTTTGTTGTCTGACAAGAAACACGTTTAACCTGTCATCATTAATACCTAAAGGCCTAGAAATCTACCTAACATCAAGACATATCCATGTGAAAAAGACTTTTTGACCTTGGTTGGTTTGAAAATGTGTTATCTAGCTTGCCTAGAAGCTTAATTGCGGGGGAATACAGTGCATACCTCCCTTACACACTGACATCAAAGGTAACATGTTTTCCAACCTTACTGTCATTTGCCACTTAGGGGATCTGCATTGCAAAATACAACCCAAATCTTTCAGTGTAGCAGGTGTTTCTGCTTGCAAAATCTGTGTCTCTCATGCATTTGCAAAAAAAAGCACATCCTGGCATTTTCTGTCATAAAAGCTAGCACTTAAAAACAAAACAAAAAACAAAACAACCCGGAAACACCACCACCCCTACCCCATGAAACTTATTAAATCCATTAAAAAGAAGACTTATCATTTTTTTAATTAACATGTGGCTACATTTTCATTATACTTTCAATCCTGTGAGGTAATGATGTTACCCATTTAGTGCAACTTCTTCCTAATTTATATTTAATAATTCTTAGAAAGAAATCATCACATGTAAGTGGATTCTGACCTAATAAATATGGACCAACTATTAACTATGTAACTATTTTAACTGATTGCTCCCAGTTAGGTTTCCTGCATGCTTTTGACACGAGTACAACGACGTACTCCTGCTAGACTATGTTTTCTTGCAGATTAGAAATATAATGATACACTGAATAACATTTTACACATTTGGACTGCAAAATAAAAGCTAAAATAATCTAAAAACTTTCAAATAAGACCAGGTAAAAGTAAAATAGAATTTGTCATCCTGAAAGCTTTCTTGAGCCGGCTTGAAGAACCATTTAGAAAAAATATAGGAGGTTGTTTGCAGAAATCTAAAGAGCATTATATTTCAACCTACACTTTGGGAGACTGCTCCGCCCATATTGTACTTACTTGATCATAATATGTGTCACTGTAGCTAACCACATTTATTGACAGGACTCTGTCTGGCGATTTATTATTTGCCTTTATTGATTATTAATTATTCACTATGCCAATCCATTGCTGAATAATGGATGGATACGAATCTTTAATAGGTATTTTTTAAATCACTTTCTTTAGCACTGTAGAATATAACACATAATGCATCTCAGTGCTTTCTCCAACAACTGGAGCAACTCTAAGCACTTCAAAAAGAATGAATGGGGAACTTGTTGGGCTGACTGACAGAAGAAGAATCAGAAGTTTGAATCAGTAAGTCTTTCTTTGTCCCTACTTCATGTTCTTCCCCAAAGTGAAAATGTAGGAAGATGCTCAATAAACACATTTTCCCTCTAGATAATAAATGGTTGGAAAGCTATAAAAAACAACTCTAAGATAATTTAAGATGGTTCTGGAGAAATGACCTCAGAAGATCCACAATAACTGGAGTGGAGACTCTTAGGTATGTGACTGCCACAGAGATGAAGATTTGCGGAAGAAATAGCAAATGTACGAAGGCCTCATGGAAGAAGACACAAAGCAGCAGTAGATGCTATAGGAAGGTGATGCTGCTGTAAACAGCTGTGTGCAAGGAAAAGGCTCAGTGAAGGACAGTGAATAAACTAATCCAGAACCTGATGAACAGTGCAGCTCAGATAAGAAATGAGAGTTACTGAAAACTGGAAGGACTTCTCAGCAAAGCTAGAAGGAATCCTATTTGTTATTTTAAAGATATTCTTAAACTCAGCCAAAATTGTGTGTACTTCAGTAGTCTGAGAATGGAAGTAAATGAGAGTGAAATGTTGATGGGTAATGTTTTTATTGGTATATACAGTAAAATGTAAAAGTATCTGATCATACCTGAAAATATGTAAACTGAGAGTGATAGAGGTCTGGATAAATATGAAGAGTGGTTCCAACCACAAGCAGCAACTCAAACTTGTGAAGAGATGAGCTGATGTATCCTGTGAAACCCAAACACCAGATCTTCAGGAGAGCTTCTAAATCAAACAGAACTGTAAAAGCAACCTAGATGAATATATAAAACAAGAAAGATGCATTCAAAACACTGAGTTAAATTACAAGTTTCTATGACATCATGTCTATTAAGGTTTTCTGTGGCAAAAATAAAGATCTCCATAATATTTAACAAAATCACTCATGCTCTGAACAGAATAAATGCTCAAGAATAGATTTCCTCATATTGTCTCATACTCTTCCTTAAAATATACACTTCATGAAATTTTATCAAGTGCCAACACAGACATGTAGGTTTCACAGTTTGGAAAGCATGAAGTAATGAATCTGTCCAGCTGACCTTTCACTTTGCATACACAGATAAAATGGGGACAATTATGAGATGTTTTTTTCAAAATGTGAAGCAGACCATGTGAACTGTATGAAGAATTTTAAGAGATCTAAGGAACAAACCTAAGTTTAAAGGTCTCCTGGTGGAAAATTGCTACTCCCAATTTTCTAAACCTTCCACAGTAATATGACAACGACTATGAAAAGGGATGATGGGACTTAAACATTAAAACAACGTAAGAACCCAGGAAAAAAACTCCTTCCAGAATTGGTAAACTTTCACAATTTTAAAAAGAGATGGTGTTAAAGAAGTTAAGCAAAGAGAGTAAGGTTAGAAGTTACAGGGGAAGAAATCTACTTGTAAACATTGAATGATTGGGGGATTCTTCCAGAGGCTTTTTGAAATTTTTATACACGAAACCCCATGATGTTCAGCTGGAAAAAAGGGACAGAATTTTGCATAGGTTTACATCTTCAATATTTGTTTCCTCTTACTTCTGTCACTTCCAAAAATCCTTCTGGCTAGACACACTTATTTCTAACCTGCCTTCTTATTTTACCACTATATACACTCTGAGATATACTCTTCATTGCTTTCCAACAGCCAGGAAACCCAATGGAAAAGATGTTTTTCCTTGAATCAGCAATTTTCCCCTCTGACACTTTACATACTTTGGGGCTTAAAAGAGATACTGATATAAAATTAGGTGGCATCTATATATACAACTAATACTTTTAAAGTGTTTGCAAACATTAACAAAATACAGCTCAAACCTCCTTTAAGGAAAAGCATTATTAGTCTTTTAAGATAGAGAACTTAACTGACAGTGGGCCATAAAGTTTACTAGAATTGGCAGAGGATAATGAAGTTAGAGACTAAGATTTTAATCCTGAATCTGACAGTGACAATCTCTGGGATGCTGCCTTAACTACTCATATTACTGAAAATTTAAACCCTCCAGTCCATCAAGAAAAGTATTTATAAACATGAAAGAGTGTTTTTGTGACATAGCTAAATAAAGTTTTACATATTTTATGTGGACAGGACTGTCCCAAAGAAGGTGTAGAGAATTAAACACTGAAGCTTATATCCTATGTTTATTCCCCTTGTCCATGCAGCTATTTATGAGCAGTGCTAGAAGCTATATTATATAGCTCCTCAAGGAATGCAAAGTAGTTATCAGGTGTCAAATGTCCTCTGAATGGCTAAATCAAGGAAGAATGCTTCATAGCACTTCAAAACCTTCTTCACATTAGGGAAGAAATACTACCAAGAAATATTTGTATGATTTTAGTCATACACAGTACAGGGACATGTTCATGCTCATATTCTCAAATGTATCTGTCCAGTTTTTCAGACCTTGTTCTGGTAGCTCAAAGAGCTTGTGGAGAATGAGCCGAGTTTGAACAGACTACCTCTTTACATGGAAATCTCTATCTAAACCACAACACTTTATCAAAAAATATTACAATGAAAGCTCACTTTTAATGAAAATACATCTGACTGAGTCCTAAAAGAACAAGGTGGTCAAATTAGGAAAAATGGAGCAGCAGGGAGAAAGCAGCTGGAGTTCAGCTACAGAGCAGGTGGAATAACAATGCCATTTAAATACACACATACATACTTCAGAGCACATAGGCTTCCTATGAGGACAAGACTAACAAATATGATGTTAAGTGTATTTTAATTTATTCTAGAAATGTGTGGGTGAGATCATTTGCATTTTACATGCTTGTCAAACGAATTCAAACCCCTAGCACTTAAAAATGTATCAAATGGTTTGCATAACATCTGATTACATTTATACACCTGTCTTCCTGCTGACAGACTTGTATTTTTTTTCCTTCCTTGTAATTAATTACAGGAGGAGATTCGGAATATCTGACTAGAACTTTTTGTTAGGTGTGAAATGTAATACAATCTTAGAGCCTCTTTTTTTTTTTTTTTTTTTTTTAAGCTGAAATTACTCCTTTCATTGCTTCAGAGACAGGGGAAAAGCAAATTCTCATAAGAAGCCAGAGCAGACCCACACAAAAAAAGCAGATGTAAAGCGTGAGCAGCCACCCTCTACCAGGCTGCCGGCTTTGCTCTGGGGAGGACACGGAGGAGCTACCAGAAATGGGCTGCTTCTCTGAGGGCTACCTCCCGTTCAGTCACCCAGAAGCTTTATGGTATCAATGCCTCCCTCAGCAACATTTTGTTTTTTCCAGTAGTCCCTTAACATCTTTGTTTTGCAGAGGCAAAGCTCAGTATCAGCCAATGTCCAACTGTGGCAGCCTCTTTGCAACTGGTTTACAAGCCGGTATTGCATCCTGCTTCAACCAATCTCCCTCACCAAGGAAACAAGCCAGCCACAGTGGAATAACCTGCGTTGTTTGAGCATTCAGTCTCCTCAAGGCTCTTACAAACAATTTCTTTTTATGTCCTGTGCTGCAAAGAACAAGATTCACAATAACCAAGTAGCAAATGGCAACAGCTTATCAAATTCTCCTCTCTCCCAGAATTGTTCTGGTCTCTGGCTGTTTGGATACTGTATTTTATAACTCATTCTATAAGATACATGGGGTTTGTTCTTGTTTGATTTTTATCGTGTCTCCAGTAGAAGCATCAAAGGTTAAAAATAATAACAAACCCCAACAAATGGACACCAAATAAGTATGCCTTACAAATAAACAGAATACCTTTCACTATTCCAGACTAATTTAACTTACATACTTAGAAATGTAAACATGTAGAATGTCAACAAATGGGTTTTATGACAACCTCCCCACTTATATATCAATAATCTAAGCTATACAGAAACAGAAAAATATATCTTTAAAGAAAACGGGATGTTACCTTCAGGCCAAAATTATACCCCGATCTAATGACATGTTCATCTTGAATTTCTAAACCTTGTCAAATATTTCTGTTGGAAAAAAAACCCCACCCAAACCCTTCACTTGAAATGTACACTTGATGTTGAAGAGAGTATTTCTAGCACTGATTAATAAAAGCATAATTATACTATATATTCAGTGCCAAAATAGGAATAGCACAGGCAGCGTTTCCTATTTTGAGTATAAATAGAATTAATGTTATTTTGTTAAGAATCCAGGCTCCACTTGCTGTATCCTGTGCATAAACAGCAAGAAGTTCACGGACTCAGGCTTTAATGCTGACTTCATTATTTGTTTCCGGCCTAGTTGGCTGGGCTAGAGTTAATTTTCTTCATCAGTTTGGATGGTGTTTTGGATTTGTGCTGGAAACAGTGTTGCTAACACAGGGATGTTTTAGCTGTTGCTGAGCAGTGCTTGCATAAGGGTCAAGGCCTTTTCGGCCTCTCACCCCACCCCACCATCAAGCAGGTTGGGGGTGCACAAGAGGTTGGGAGGGGACACAGCCGGGACAGCTGATCCCAACTGAACCAAGGGACATTCCATACCATACGGTGTCATGGTCAGCATATACAGCTGGGGAAGAAGAAGGAAGGGAGAGATGTTTGGGGTGATGGTGTTTGTCTTCCCAAGCAGTGGTTATGCATCATGTGGCCCTCCTTTCCTGGAGATGGCTGAACACCTGCCTGACTATGGGAAGTGGTGAATGAATTTCTTGTTTTGCTTTGCTTGTGTGCACAGCTTTTGCTTTCCCTATTAAACTGTCTTTATCTCACCCCATGAGTCATCTTACTTTCACCCTGCCCATTCTCTCCCCATCTGACTGGGGAAGAGCAAGTTAGTGACCCTCACTGGGGGACAGTGAAAGAGTGGCAGGCTGAGCTGCCTGCCAGTTTTAAAGCAGAACAGAGATTAAAATGAGTTTTCCTGTCCTCACTTCTATCCTCAAATCTGTGTCATAAGAAAATCCAGCATTTGTTGGTTTTATTCTGATGACTTATTCCCAGGATCACCCTCTTTCAAGTTTATGTTGGTTTTTGAATATGCTTAGAAGTTGAGAAAAAATAAAGATAACATGTTTCATAATTACTGTAAACTACAACTATTTCCCGCTATATCATGTTTGATACAAATTCTAAACCTAAGAAATTAAAAAATGGGTATCAAGTCAATCTCCCTTAGAAAAGGGAGATTTGTAAAGCGTCATGATATTATGGACTAGGGGTTTAGAGCTGGCACTTGAGTCTGATTCTCAAAAGTATTTAAGACATTTAAAACCACAAGAGCAGAAATCATTGAACTTCTTGTCTTGTGATTCCCCTGCTACTGGTGTATTTGTTGCCAACAACAAATGCCAAATACCAATGGCGAAGGAATCACAAGGATGATACCGCTATCATGCACTCTAGCCTAAGAATGTCCCTTTTGTCCCCAAAGAAGGACTCTGTAATTATTGAAATCAGGGAAACTATAACATGTGCCCAATTGAGGCAACCATGATCAACACTTTCAGAGAACTAATCTTGGTGAATTTCAGCACTGGTGGTTTTATACTCAGATAGAGTCACAATTCACAGTGCCCATCAAAGTAAATATTTTTAATAAAGAATGCTACAATACTGATTTCACTCTTGATTCAGGAAAAAGAAGTATCTGTTCTAAGCTATGGCTGTGCATTAGTAACAAAGACTCAAATTCTTTTCTTTCTTTTTCTTTCTCCTTTCTTTCTCTTTCTTTCCTTCTTTCTTTCTTTTCTTTCTTTCTCTCTCTTCTCTCTTTCTCTTTTCTCTGTTTCTCTCTCTTTCTCTTTCTCTCTCTCTCTCTTTCTCTCTTTTCTTTCTTTTCTTTCTTTCCTCTTTCTCTTTCTCTCTCTCTCTCTCTTTCTTTCTTTCTTTCTTTTTCAAACTGAATTAAATAGTACTAGAAACACATGTAGACAAGATTGTAGGATCTCCAGTGCATGCTCTACAGGAGAATCCTTGACCAGCCAATGATTGAAGCAGGCTCCCTGCCAGAATGTCATTTATAACTAAACTTTTTACCCCTGCTTCACTGGTTCAGGAGCATAGCCTCCTTATTCACCAAATTCATGACTGATAAGTATTTTTGCGTGTGCTCTTGAGGTTGTTGAAGCTTGGCTATTTTCAAGACTATTTTGGTTACGCTTAAGGACTTTCTTGCAGCTACATGTATGGTGCATAAAGATGATTTAGGAAAATGTACTATATTATTATTCCTTAAAGACAGTATTTTGTCATTTTTTTAGAGTTGAATTCTTCTGGATGTTACACTCCTGCAAGAGAACGACAGCAACTCAGCAGCCATACACTGCCTGCAGATGTTATACTTAAGCCTCAGCTCATTACTACAGACATTTTGTTTGAGGAAATTACCTTTCAAAAGGTTCTAAGACAGGGCTGTCAGTCATTGTCACCCAGAGGAACTTGAACAGGTTAGCAAAGAATTCTCAGAATGCTTAAGGGAATAAAAAATATTACATACTAAAATATACTTGACGTTCACATTTTATACTTTAGCTTATCTTGAAAAATATCCAGATAGTCATTTCAGCCTACTCACCTCAGCTAGGTAAAATTCATCATATTGTCTCTTGAAATTTTCTCCTTTGTAGTAGTTACTAGCAGCAACAATCACATCTACAGCCACCATGCTCAGTATGAACATATGAAACACGGATGACCTCATCATTTTCTGCAAAAGAAAAAGGAAACTTTATCATCAAAATGAGTGAAACATATGCATTATAAAGTTTTATTACACTGTCAGAACTTAATCAACTACAATAATGTGCTTTTATAAAGCTTCTTTATATGATTCCAATAATTATTCTTTAAAATATATTCTGATATATTGCTGAAACTGGTTTGTATGTGTAAGTTGGGGTTTTTTTACTGAAAAGTTTTTTATTTGCCAGTTGACTTCTTACTGAAGGTTTATAATTTGATACAATATATAGTACTTTAGTATGTTTATAAAGCATAAACTGTACTTCTATCTACTCGGTTGCCCTTGGTTAACACTCCTTCATTACAATTTATTCAGGCAGATCTCAATGACTTAATGTTCAGGAACAAATAACATTAATTCTTGTGCATTGCTTTTGCTCAAGAAAGACAAATAATATGGGTTTTATCTGATAGCAAACTATTACCTCAAAGTGTAAAACATCTATATACACTAGATATGCACATCTGGGCCAATAGACTGTGAAGTACCTCACGGATATTTCATTTTTATTTATCTGTGCGCATAATGCTTTGTGTCATTGCTGCTGCAATCTCATGGAAGAAAAGAGAAATGGAGTCATGCAGCACTGGCCAGAAGTTCACATCCATGAGCTGCACAAACAGTAGGGATAAGAGGTATGCCCGAAGTTCAAAGAACTAACTTCTAGGCCTCCACCACATAGAATGTGGTCTTACGATTTACCCTGAAAACCACTACCCTCACTGGGTCAGCCACAGCTCTTCCAGTAGAATCTACAGTCAAACAGGCAGAATGTTGGCAAAATGTTATTTTACATGAAATCATTTCTGAATGGTTACTAATATTGATATTTTTACAGTGTTTATCAAGTAATACAGGTTATGTTCTTAATGCTTATTTGCAAACACAAGTTACACACCATTACGGTTCCCCATGTTTGTGTGCAAATTTTATTTGTGTTCACATTGAAAAAGCCCCTTTTTATTTGTTCCTGAGTTAACATGTAGCAGTACCTGACAAGATTTCAGGAAAAATAAAACTCAAAATATAGAAGAACTCTGCCCCTTCTTATCTTCTTCCTAAAGATTCTGTGCACCTCTACTGGTTTATATTCACAGAATCACATAGTTATTTAGGTTTGAAGGGATCTCTTGGGGTTGTCTAGTCTGCTTCTGCCTGCTCAAGCAGTCAGCTAGAGCAGGTATTCCAGGAGACTCAGAGATCTGAGATTGCAAATGGGCCTCTTACAATCATCTAGTCTACCCCCTCTACTCAAAGCAGCATCACATAGAGAAGATTGCTCAGGACCACATCCAGTCAGGTGTAATCTCCAAGGATGGAAATTTTACAACCTGCCTGGGCAACCTTGTCCTGTGTTTTAAATCACCCAGTTGTTCTGGACCACCTTATCTTTAGGACTGTATTTCATGGGATGCTTCAAAGCAGACACCTGAACATGAAAAGTCCTCTCTCCTGAATCCCAGGGTTGTGGTCCTTTTGGCTTTTTTCCCCTCCTAGCAGGATCCTGAACTCCACAATCTCATGGCCATTGCAACCAAGACTGCTCATGAACCTCATAACCTGACCAGTTACTCCATGCTTGTAAGTATGAGGTCCAGCTAGAACACCCGCCCCTATCAGCTCACATGTGTAAAGAAGTTATCATCACTGCAATACAGAAATCTGCATTATTTCCTGTGCTGCCCTTCTAGCAGATATCAAAGTGGTTAAATTACCCCAGGAGAACAGGGGATGAATGTGAAGATGTTATAGAAGAATGCAAAAATCAAGTATCACACACAGTTATTTTGCAAAGATATATTAACATGTTAGAAAATTCATATACACTTGTAAAATGCTGTCTCAGTCTTTAGTAAGCTGAGGTTGTTACCCTGACAAACAAGTGTCAACATCTACATTTTATGTTAAACCCCACCTGGAGTTCAGGGTCTTAACCAAGCTACTCTTCATACTACGAGGATCTAATGAGATCAAATTAGAACATAAGATGGTATATATGGGAGGATGTTAAGGACCAGCACTTGTTCAGGCTTTTGGCGAAGACTTTTACCTGCCTACAGAAGAATGAATCCCTTGTTGAATTCCATTGGTGTTTTAAGATAGTTTAGTTCAACTAAAGCTGAGTAGAGCCTAAGCACGTATTTAAAAGCATTCAGCCTCATGTCTCATCACTAATAGCACTGCAGACAGAAGGCAGCTCAACCCTTCTCATGCAGGCTGGCTTGCTTTTGACACTGGTGGCATAAAATGGCTATATATTCCAATCTAGAATGGGAGGCTTAGGAGATAAAGCCTGACAGTCAGAAATGTACAGAACAAGCCTGGGTTAATAACAATGCCTAAAGCACAGCAAAGCCACCAAAACAGAGTGGCTAAATGAGGTTTTGCATTTATTTTTAATACAAAAGGCAAGCTATACAAATATAATAATTTAAGACAGGCCTACTGGCATCAATCATACTGTCAGCTGTGTGATTCAAAACAGATAGTATCATATCTTTTATATTTCCATTTCACACAAGTTCTAAACAGTTTCTCTGCATATTTTGCACTGTATTTTTGATAGTGTTAAAATTTCCTTTGTTGTAATGAAGTATTCTGCCTCAATTGTTAAAGGACTTGCTAAAAGAAACTAGAAAGCGAGGCTGTAAAATGTACTTTTCTCTCCCTTCACAAAAGACAAAAACCCCCAACAATAGGGAAGTAAAATGGTAATAGAGGAAGAATAAAAATGCATAAACTGCCTTGGTATACATGAACATACATGCATGAGACTCTCATACAGTCTGCAACTTTGGACACCCACAAAAAGATTTTCCAGTGGTATATTTAATGATAGAAAATAAAACAAAATACCATAAATAATATCCTAATCATAGTATGCTTTAGTAAAATTCAGTAAAGCTTGTCAGTTACTAAAGGTTGTCTTCCCAAATGAACTGAGACTATTTAGCTGATAGAGAGTATTATGTTGGCATAACACAATTCAGCACCAAGATAATAAAGAAGGAGGCTCAGACAGGATGTGAGGGACAGGCTGTGTAAAGGCAGGAACATCTGGCTGATGCAGCAATTTAGGAGGTGGTTGGGGCAGGCAAAGTGAAAAGCACACGGTTATTGGCACACAGACAGAGAGCTCATGGGGCCAGCAAGGTGGACGCATCTGAGCAAATACATATGCACAGCAAAAACCCTATGCTGAGGAGACCCAAAAAAGAAATTCATTACTTTTAGATCTCAGGACTGGCCTGCTTACAGGGGCCAGATTGGCATCTGTGTTTCTTCATCTTTTCTACAGCATGTCAGAATCCAGCTGAACACTTGTTACAAATGCTATGCATGATAAGCAGCTTTCCTGTTGGCCTCTCAGACAGACTGCAATATCCTTAGGACATCAATCACAGTGCTCTATCTCTTTTCCTCTACTTTAATCTGTCTTAGTTTGTTCTTTCTGCATCACAGAATTTTAATTTGTGCGAACCCTTGAAACAGTTCAACGGCACCTCTGCTGTAATGTTTGACCATAAGATTTCACCAGTGCTTTACACATTTCTGTATTTGGAAAGAGGTCTAAGAGACAGCTGAATTTAGCCCACAGCATTTGCCCAAGCCTTAAAAACCATTTTGGATCACCAGATCAGCAGTGTGATTTCATGTAGATTACATCCCTTTTCAGAGCACACAGCCATGGAAAATTCTCCGTGCAAACTTGAAAGAAGAGACATAATACCAGGGTTTGTTCTTGTTTAATTTAATTACCTTTTTCAGCCCTCGGATGTGTGTTTCTTAAACTGTGCAGGAATAAGATGAAAGAAATGTTCTGATGTTCCTGTCAGCCAGCTGCATGACGGGAAGATTGTGTCTAATATTAAATTGGACTTAAGATTAGCTGTGTTGAAGCAGTCTCAAGTGAAATGCCCTGTTGCTGCCATCAATCAACTACAACAGGGAAGAATTTCTTACATTTCCAATGAATCACTTCTAACACTGCCATTTGGCTTCATGCAGGATGACAGATGACAATTCTCTGTGTCCAGAACACTATGTAGAATGTGGATGGCATAGTGCATTAAAGATGCAATGGCCAAGAAAACCAATACAGGACAAATTATTAACTCCAAATCCAAAAGAGCTGAGGATTTGCTTTGTGCCCAGATGTGAAATTCATGAAAGCAGAAAATATGCCTTTAATACTGCTTATTTATTTAACATTTGGGATGTACTTGGTACAGCTGAGAATTCTAAATGAAAAATTATATGTAATATCCCAAATTCACCCAAAAACTGAATTAAGCAATGACACTGCAATTGCTGACAGGTGGAGATTACCTGGGTCACTTGGTGGTATGGAACATTACCACTTATGGCCTAAAGCAGTCTTTTGTCACTCCAGAAGTATCAGAATGGGACCCGTTGCTTTAATACTCCTTCCCCCTTCCTGCATGGTAGACGGAGAATGAGTGACATAAATTCGCCTTTGCCAGCTCTCTGCCCTGGAGAAAACCCACAGCAGGTGCCACCTCACACAGCCAGAGCCACACAGACCCTGGCTCCAGAAAGCAGTGGTCCATACAAAATGCAGTCACTAAGCAAACTAGAATAACTGAAGATGAAACTACATATTCCTAACGCTAAAACCCTTCCTGGGGCTTGGTATGTACCACCATCCTTTAGGTGGGATTTTTATTTCAAGCCCATAATAGATATTACTTGCTAAGCAAGACGATAAGGGTTGCAAACTTCTAGGATCTGACAGACTTAATAATAAAAGAACACATGGGCCATGTTACCGTTGGGATTACCTAGCTCAAAACTGATCAGGATGGTAATGTTCCAAATTATCATGTGAAACCTTGAAAAAGGTGTCTTCAAAGGGCTCAATGGCTTTAGTTTAGCCCTACAGAAATTCAAACTGCCTTTGACAATACTTAACACTATTTGTCATAGCCCTCAAGCTACTAGTA